GTCTAGATAATGTTTTAAGATTTTTATTTTGCAGCTAGGCACGGTGGCTCACGCCTATAATCCCAGCACTTTGGGAGGCCAAGGCAGGTGGATCGCAAGATCAAGAGATTGAGACCATCCTGGTCAACATGGTGAAACCCCGTCTCTACTAAAAATACAAAAATTAGCTGGGCATGGTGGCGCGCGCCTGTAATCCCAGCTACTTGGGAGGCTGAGGCAGGAGAATTGCTTGAACCCAGGAGGCGGAGGTTGTGGTGAGCCAAGATTGAGCCATTGCACTCCAGCCTGGGTAACAAGAGCGAAACTCCATTTCAAAAAAAAAAAAAAGATTTTTATTTTTATTTTTGTGGCTACTTGGAGGATAAATTGGAAGAATGCAAGACTTGAAGTAGGGAGGTAATAAAGAGGCAATTATCCAAGTGAAACATGACAATTACATGTGCCAGGAGGGCAATGGTGGGGATGGATAAAGGGGGAAGCAGAAGATACAGTTTAGAGATACCTAGTGTCCAGGTCATGATTTCTAAATACGATTCTCCAATTAAAGAAACCAGGGCTCCTTTGATAAATGGCTGATTCCAGGGCTGGGGTAGGAAATAGACAAGATGAACCTGGAACATCTTGTGATGCCAGGAAGTAAGAATGTGCTTGAAAAATGATGGGTCATGTTGAAAGGACTTGGAGCCAACTTGGAGGACATCCCAAAGACCAAACCTGGACCAACTGAACAACCAAATAAGCAATGAAAATAATAAACTAGTTAAGCCCATAACTGAATAAATCAATGAACAGGGGAGAAAGAACAGTGCTTCCTTACAGAAGAATTCTAATTAGTAAGTGTGAAAAGAAAGGATTTGAAAATCACCATTTGGCAAACACCACAGGAATAACTTTTGCAGGCAAGAATCATTAAAGATGGTTTGTATTGGGCAAAAGAATGATGACAAATGGGATATTTGCCATCTCAAAGAATCTCCATCTGGGTGTGGTGGCTCATGCCTGTAATCCCAGCACTCTGGGAGGCCGAGGCAGGCGGATCACGAGGTCAACAGATTGAAACCATCCTGGCCAACATGGTGAAACCCCATCTCTACTAAAAATATAAAAATTAGCTGGGCATGGTAGCTTCTGCCTGTAATCGCAGCTAAAAATTAGCTGGGCATGGTAGCTTCTGCCTGTAATCCCAGCTACTTAGGAGGCTGAGGCGGGAGAATCACTTGAACATGGTAGGTAAAGGTCGCAGTGAGCCGAGACAGCTCCACTGCACTCCAGCCTGGCAACAGAGTGAGACTCTGTTTGAAAAAGAAAAGAAAAAAAAAAGAATCTCCCCACAAGATACTTAACAAAGACAAAGGGGAAAAGAGTATTACTTTACAGTGAAGAAATCCTACAGACACCATCTTCACCAAGTGACAAAAGGTGACATCACCAGTAATAGTAAATAAAACACACTGACTTCAGGTAACTCCTGATATGATGCACTAAAAAAAGCCAAGTATGGCACTTCTGAAATAAAGACATAATTGCAATCTAACTGTGGGAGAACAGTGAATTCCAAATTGCAGAACATTCTCGAACAACTGATCAGTACTCTTCAAAAGTATCCAAGTCATGAAAGATGAAGGAAGACTGAGAGTTGGAGATTCTGAACTGGATCTTGAACTAGAAAAGGAACCTTAGTGGAACAACTGGCAAAATTGGAATATGGTCTGTAGCTTAATATTGTAGCACTTTCCCAATTTTGATCATTGGACTGTGGTTATATAAGATGTCACTAGGGGAGGCTGGGTGAAAGGCTTTTCTGGGAACTCTGTACTATTTTTAGAACTTTTTACTACATCTGAAATTATTTCAAAGTAAAAAGTTAAAAGCTCAAGGGGGGAGAAAAAGATCTAGGTTGGAGACACCAGCAGCAGGACTGCTGGTAAAATGGTGTGCTGGGGAAGAGGGAAAAAAGTATACTGCTTTGCTGCATTATCATCAAGCAAGACAAGAAGAAACAGACACATGCAAGAATTCTGGGTCAGGTGTGGTGGCTCACGCCTGTAATCCCAATACTTTGAGAAGCCAAGACGGAAAGGCAGAAAGACTGCTTGAGCCCAGGAGTTTGAGACCAGCCTGGGCAATAAAGTGAAACCTCTCATTTCTAGCAAAGAAAAGAAAAGAAAAGAAAAAAGTCCTAACACTTAAGGTAAACTCTATAATCTGTGTATTTCCATCTGTGCACACTCCCATCAATTTGCATATAGTAAAATCTATTTTGTATGTTAAGCAGGAATTGTGTTACTGGGCATCATCTCATTCGTAAATTTCTAGAAGGGCTACAGGTGATGATGAGGAGAGGAGACCATCTTTATTAATTTATATCTTGGTTTCATTATTATCTGAAATTATTTTGTAAATATTTGAGACCAAACACAAGAATTAGCCAATATTTATTTTGTGCCTGTACCAGAGTCTGTTTTGACAGGTCAAAAGTTTTTGGAGGATCAAATACAATGATCCATTATTAATTGAGCACCCATTACATGCTGGGATTTGGACTAGGTGTGAAAGATGTCTCATCTCACTTAATCCTCCCAACCACCATGTGACCACCACAGAGAGGAGGATACTGAGCTTCCAAGAAATTGATGGACCCGCTTAGGGTCTTACAGCAAGGGGAGAGTAGTGGAGGCATTTGGGAGTAATCCCGGGTCTCTCATCAGCCAGTGAGCAGCAGGGCTGCTCTGAGATGTGTCTACACTTCTGACTACAGTTGTAGGGGTTGTTTCTCCACTTCCCACAACTAGCGGAGGGCAGAACCATTTAGGGGGGTCTTCACAATTTTGTTTATTTATTGAGACAGAGTCCTGCTCTGTCACCCAAGCTGGAGTGCAATGGTGTGGTCTCGGCTCACTGCAACCTCTGCCTCCTGGGTTCAAGTGATTCTCCTGCCTCAGCCGGGACGTGGTGGCACGTGCCTGTAATGCCAGCTGGAGGCTCTTAGCAGAGATGGGGTTTCACCATGTTGGTCAGGCTGGTCTCAAACTCCTGACCTCATGATCAACTGCCTCGGCCTCCCAAAGTGCTGGGATTACAGGTGTGAGCCACTGTGCCCGGCCGTGTTTACAATTTTGTCTGAGTCAGTGTGTTTGCTTGCAAGAGCAACATGGCAACTTAGTATATTTTGGGGAATGGGTGCTAAAATCCCAGGTTTATATTTTAGCTGCCCCTGCCAACACGTGATCTCACCAACTGTAAAATCCGCCGGTCTTACGGCTGCAAACAGTCTCGTTTGTTCTCAGAGCTATTTCCCCGTCAGGTTCAGTCCAGCCCTTTGTATGTGACACTAAGCACGTCTGTCCTCTTCAACCCATGTCTGTCCACAGCTTCTGTCTACATTCTCCCCATGGAATCAACTTTTTCTGATTGATTTGAAGGAATTATTTGTGCATTCTGGATGGTAATCATTTGTTTAATATAGGTGGAAAATAATTTTCCCCGTATCCTGCTTTTTATTTTCCTTTTGGTGTCTTTTTTTTTTTTTGAGATGGAGTCTCACTCTGTTGCCCAGGCTGGAGTGCATTGGCACAGTCTTGGCTTACTGCAACCTCTGCCTCCTAGATTCAAGCTATTCTCCTGCCTCAGCTTCCCGAGTAACTGGGATTACAGGCACATGCCACCATGCCTGGTTAGATTTTTGTATTTTTAGTAGAGACAGGGTTTCACTATGTTGGCCAGGCAGGTCTTAAGCTCCTGGCCTCAAGTGATTCACCCACGTTGGCCTCAAAGTGTTGGGATTACAGGCGTGAGCCACCATATCCGGACAATCCTACTGGTGTCTTATTATCATTACCATTATTGCTGTTTTAAATCTGGAGGTGTCAAATCTCTGTGATGGTTTTGTATCTTTTAAATAAAGTCATAAATATATGCTTCTGTATTTTCTGCCATAGCTATCAAAGTTTTTGCTTTTTAGGTTTTGTTATTTAATCAGTGAGAATTTATTTTTACAAGTAGAGTAAGGTAGGAAATTTAACTACTTTTTTCCAAACTGATAGTTATTTTCCCAGACAACTTTATTAACTTGTCCCCTATCTTTCTCTTCATAAATTATATATAAGGTTTAACTCTTTTTTTTAAATTGTAGGTTTAACTCTTTTAAAAATGATCATGTATTATTTGTATAATAATAATGTAAGAAATACAATTACTCAAAAGGAATACAGATTGGGTGCAGTGGCTCAAACCTGTAATCCCAGCACTTTGGGAGGCTGAGGTGGGAGGATCACTTGAGATCAGCATTTGGAGACCAGCCCGGCCAACACAGGGAGAACCTAATTACTACAAATAATTTAAAAAAGTAGCCAGTTGTGGTGGTGCGCACCTGTGGTCCCAACTACTTGGGAGGCTGAGGCAGAAGGATCACCTGAGCCTAGGAGGCTGAAGCTGCAGTGAGCTGTGATTGCCCCACCGTACTCCAGCCTGGGCAACAGAGTGAGACCTGGTCTCAAAAAGCAAGCAGACAAGAGGGCTGGGTGTGGTGACTCACATCTGTAATCCCAGCACTTTGGGAGGCTGAAACAGGCAGATTACTTGAGGTCAGGAGTTCAAGACTAGCCTAGTTAACAAGGTAAAACCCCATCTCTACTAAAATTACAAAAATTAGTTGGGCATGGTGACACATGCCTGTAATCCCAGCCTCTCAGGAGGCTAAAGCAGGAGAATCACTTGAACCCAGGAAGTGAAGGTTGCAGTGAGCTGAGATTGCACCACTGCACTCGAGCCCTAGGTGACAGAGCAAGACTGTCTCAAAAAGGAAAAAAAAGGAATACAAGTATGTGTTGATGCTTACCTTTCTTTTGTTTCTCAGTTGTCTTGCACAAGACCATGCATATAACATGTGTTCAATAAATATTTCTGAACTTAAGGCACCAACTTTTCTGTTTTCTATTTAAAAATATTATGGACAATACATTCTTCTTGTTAATTATAGCATCATTCCAGGCATCTGGTGGTAAGATCACAGTAGTGAAGGTTTTATTTTCTTAGTGTCAGTTTTTTAGTTAGATTGTAAAGAATCCCATTCTACAGATATAAAAACAGTAATGTTGAGTGCCAGGATTTGCTATCTGAAAAACTGAAATTGACAAGCCACATACAACCTTTATACCCTCTTATGCCCTTATTGGATTATTCGTATCACACATTTTCAGCTATTCTTAAACTACTTTGCAGCAATACCGAATCTTTTCCCAAATACGTAAATGAGGCTAGATAAATGAGGGCACGATGAGTAGCCTTGAACAGATACTGGCTGTGCATTTCTCCTCCCTTCGTTTTAAATATGGCAAGTTTTAAGGGATCTCTGGGGGAGGATTTCCTCCAGCTCCCTCCCCGTTCCCCAAGGCAGCTCCCATTCATTTTCTGACATAAGGAGCTTTGTCAACTGCTGCACATTTCCACTTTTCAGGATGCCCTCAGAGTTACTGAAAATCCGGCAGAGCTGTCCATTTATTTTATTGTGGCGCCCACCTCACTGGCTTTCCTTGATCACTGCTTTGTCTGGCTATCAAGATTTACATTTAAATATAGGAATAGAAACAGTCTTTGAGGCTATTAGCAATGAAAGATAATCAATTGGAAATGGTTCCCTGCCGGGCAATTTTCAAGCAGAGTCATCACCAAAAACCAATTGTGCTGGCAGCTTTGGCCGTCGTGAACGTCACTGTCCAATTAGAATTACAGCACTTGCCAAGTCCCGTGATTTATACACAAATGATATTGAATATTGCTTAAGCAAAGCAAGGCCTATGGGATACATTCCCAATATTTGGGGCACAAAAAGTCCAGATTTTAAATAATTCCCCTTTTTGCTGGTTACAATGGTTATGTATGAAAATGGGGAAACTTCATATGATTTTATGCTTAGCATTTGCGTTGTCTGATTAAGGGGCTGGTAGATTTTATATTTGTATATTAACACCTGGGCATTAGAACACTCATGATCCTTGACATTTTTGGTGTACTTTAATATACTACATATCACCTAAACCATGCAAAAAATATGATCTCATATGGATTTTCAGAAATTCCTTACTAATACCATTAAGGGTTATTAGTGCTATAACAATAATCAGCTTATCTAAATTAGTACAGTACTTAGCAAAATAATAAGCAGTTTGGAAAAGGGGACATAAACTGGGCCTGTCACCATTGCAGATGAGCGTAAACTGGTGCGGTCTTTGTGGAAGACAATTTGGCAACGTTTAGCAAAAGCCTTAAAAATGTTCATAACCTTTAACCCAGTAATTCAATTTCTGGGAATCTATCTGAAGAAAATAATCCTATCTACGGAAAGAGCTTGAAGCATGAAGGTGATAAATGCAGCATTATTTTTAATTACAAAAACCCAGGGTGAGGTGGTGCACGCAGTCCTGGCTATGGAGAAGGCTGAGGTGAGAGAATCGCTTGAGCCCAGGAGTTCGAGGCTGCAGTGAGTTATGACTGCACCAGTGAATAGCCACTCCACTCCAGCCTGGGCAACATAGCAAGACCCATCTCTTAAAAAAAATTAGAAGAAAACCAAATGCCTACTAAGATACTAATGGTCAAGTAACATGTTTTTAAGTCATATAAAATAATATGAGGAATATCATATTCATTTTCAAAGAAGAGAAAATGTTTGCTTTGTACATATATTAACACACGCCATACAATGATGTAAAAACAGAATAAGGCAGAGCAAAAGATGAATAGAGTAAAATGTTAACTGTGGTGGCCTGTAGATTTGGGACCAGATTATACAGATAATTCTACTTTCCTGTATTATTTTGTATTTTCCAACATTTCTGGATAATAAATTTAATGCTTATAATGAAAATGAGTGAATATTTTATTTTGCGATGAAAATACCAATAATACATTACTGTACTGTCTCCTAATACAATATCAATTCTTTTTAAGAGGAGTGCTGGCTGGGGGCGGTGGCTCATGCCTGTAATCCCAGCACTTTGAGAGACTGAGGTGGGTGGATCATTTTTGAGGGCAGGAGGTCGAGACCAGCCTGACCCACATGGTGAAACCCCATCTCTACAAGAAAAACACACACACACAAACCAGAAATTAGCTGGGCACGGTGGTGCATGCTTGTAATCCCAGATATTTGGGAGGCTGAGGCAGGAGAAGAGCTTGAACCTGGGAGGGGGAAGTTGCAGTAAGCTGGAGAGCTGAGATCGCGCCACTGCCCTCCAGCCTGGGTGACAGTGTGAGACCCAGTCTCAAAAAAGAAAAGGAGTGGTAAATTTTTTGGCAATATATTATTAAACAAACGCACAAGAGTGGGAGGTAATCTACAGACGGAGTCAGGGAATAGACCCGCTCTATGACAGAAACGGTTTCTTTTTGCAGTAAGATGAGCTGCTGAAATGACGATTGCACTAACTGAGTAAACTCCTGTTTATCCTCAATTTAGAATGCTGGAGGAATACCAAAGAAGCCCAGGAAGGCAGTTAGTTCTTCCAGGCTCACATCCAGAAAGGAGAGATTCCACACAGTTCACAAATTGCATTATAAAAAGCTCTCTTCAGTTTGTAACCCAAGTATTTTCTGGAGAATGGCAGAAAACTAAGTTAAAAATGTGGCCGGGTGCAGTGGCTCACGCCTGTAATCCCAGCATTTTGGGAGGCCAAGGTGGGCGGATCACAAGGTCAAGAGATCGAGACCATCCTGGCTAACATGAGGAAACCCATGTCTACTAAAAATACAAAAATTAGCTGGGCGTGGTGGTGCCTTAGCCGCAGGTACTTGGGAGGCTGAGACAGGAGAATTGCTTGAACAGGGAGGTTGCAGTGAGCCGAGATGATGCCTGTACAAAAAATACAAAAATTAGCTGGGCATGGTGGCAGGTGCCTGTAATACCAGCTACTTGGGAGGCTGAGGCAGGAGAATCACTTGAACGTGGGAGGCAGAGGTGGCCGTGAGCCAAGATTGTGCCATTGTACTCCAGCCTGGGCAACAAGAGCAAAAGTCCATCTCAAAAAAAAAAAAGCAAGTTTTATTGCTAGAGGAGGAAGAAAAAGGTCAGTGTCTTTGCTTATCCAATTCTTATATCTTGGGTGCTTTTAAAGAAGAGCAGATCATCTGTCCATCCTTAGGGCACTGACCGTCCAACAGTGCAGGGCTCGGGGCACCGACTGCACGTATTTGGCATGTTACATGTCTTATCTACTGTATTCTCACAATAGTGAAGCTCGGGAAAAGAAAATGTTACTGAGAACATTAAGTGGGAGTGGATCCTTATCAACGTCTTCATTCTTGCCATCTTCACATTGTGTAGGCTGAGGAAGAGGAGGAGAAAGTGTTGGCCCTGCTGTCTTAGGGTGGCAGAAGAAGAAGAAAATCCACACAGAACCGGACTCATAGTTCAAACCTGTGTTGTTCCTTTTGTTGTTGTTGTTGTTAAGAGACAGGGTCTCATTGTGTTGCCCAAGCTAGGGTGCAATGCTGCAATTATAACTCACTACAGCTTCCAAGTCCTGGCCTAAAGTGATCCTCCCACCTCAACCTCCTGAGTAGCTGGGATTGCCAGTGTACGCCATCCTGCTGGGCTCATTTTTAATTTTTGTAGAGATGGGGGTCTCACTCTGTTGCCCAGGCTGGTGTCAAACTCCAGGGCTCAAGTGATCCTCTTGCCTTGGCCTCCCAAAGGGCTGGGATTACAGGCAAGAACCACCATGCCAGTCAACCATACAGCCTTAATGAGATGGCAATGCATTATGGCAGATGGGAATGTATCTCCAAGGTGACAGGCAGTGACCCTTGCAGGAGCCTTGGACTGTACATCCTTCTCAGGTGGGGCACATGTACTGATGTAAGTAGTGGAGAAGAAAAAGAGAGCAGAGGCCGGGCCTGGTGGCTCACATCTGTAATCCCAGCACATTGGGAGGCCAAGGTGGGCAGATCACCTGAGGTTTGGGAGTTCGAGACCAGCTGACCAACATGGAGAAACCCCGTCTCTACTAAAAATACAAAATTAGTCAGGTGTGGTGGCGTGTGCCTGTAGTCCCAGCTACTCAGGAGGCTGAGGCAGGAGAGTCGCTTGAAACCAGAAGGTGGAGGTTGCAGTGAGCCGAGATTGTGCCACTGTACTCCAGCCTGGGCAACAAGAGCGAGGCTCCATCTTAAAAAGAAAAAGAAAAAGAGAGCAGAGAGATGTCATTCACAAGGTAGTGACAAGAAGGATCACTGCTGCTTGGTATGTAGGAATGAGGTAGGTAGGGTGGTTAGAGGGAGGCATTGCAAAGAAATGCTCTGGAGCATTACCTACTAACGTCTGATGACTCTGCCCCTCTGGAGCCTCATCTATAATGTGGGGTCAGCATCACTAACATTGGAAAGTTGGTGGATGATGCCAAGGTGTTTTGGAAACTCACAGCAGCATCTGGCACTGGTAGCTACAGTAATTGTTATTTTTGGCAGCTAACACAGAAACAGCCATGATGGCAAATTTTAAATCAAAACTTTTGGCTGGGCACGGTGGCTCACGCCTGTAATCCCAGCACTTTGGGAGGCTGAAGTGGGCGGATCACTAGAGGTCAGGAGTTCAAGACCAGCCCGGCCAACATGATGAAACCCCATCTCTACCAAAAATACAAAAATTAACCAGGCATGGTGGTGTGCGCCTGAATCCCAGCTACTTGGGAGGCTGAGGATGAGACTCTCTTGAAACCGGGAGGTGGAGGTTGCAGTGAGCCGAGATTGCAACACTGCACTCCGGCCTGGGCAATGGAATGAGACACTGGCTTAAAAAAACCCCACAAACTTTTACAAATACACAAGACACTATTAATGATAGCTGCTTTTGCGGAGCGAAAATAAGGGATAGTGACAGGAGATGTTTTTCTGTATGTCCCCAGGTATTGCTTGATTTTAAAAAATACACATTATTTTAAAAGACAAAATGTTTTAAGGACGTAGTTTTTACAAATGGCTTTCCTGGTCAGGCCCAGTGGCTCATGCCTGTAATCCCAGCACCTTGGGAGGCTGAGGTGGGCAGATCACTTGAAATTAGGAGTTTAAGACCAGCCTGGTCAACATGGTAAAACCCTGTCTCTACTAAAAATATAAAAATTAGCTGGGTATGGTGGCGCATGCCTGTAGTCTCAGCTGCTTGGGAGGCTGAGGCAGGCGAATCACTTGAACCTGGGTGACAGAGTGAGACTCCATCTAAAAATACAATACAATACAATAGAAATAAATAAATAAATAAATGGCCTTCCTACTTAGGAAAGATGACAGGTTGAGTTTTGCAGCGGATCGAACATTTGACAAACGTAAATTTACTTTCTATCGCTCATATTCTTGAGGAACACTAGTCTCTAAATATACCCACAGATAGATGACAAAGGCCTTTGTATTTGAGCTTAATATAAATCAATATTTGGGAACAGCACATATCAGAAAAAACAAATCACATTCCAACTTTGTGTTCATGTCAAAAACAATCTGAGAAATAAGAGCGGTTTAATTCTCCTGTTTATTGCAGCACTATCCACAATGCAAAGGTAAAATCAACCTGTGTCCCCCAACAGACCAACGGGTAAAGAAAATGTAGTACATATATAGAATGGAATCCTATTTGGCTATAAAAAAGAATAAAATCCTGTCATTTGCAGCAACATGGGTGGAACTGGAGGTCATTATATAAAGTGAAATAAGCCAGGCACAGAAAGACAAATATGCATGTTCTCACTCATATGTGGGAGCTAAAAAAGTTGATCTCTCAGACAGTAAATTCATAGATACCAGAGGCTGGGAAGGGTGTGTGGGTATTGGGGTGGTGGTGAACAGAGGTTGGTCAATGGATACAAACGTACAGTTAGACAGAAGGAATAAGTTTCAATGTTCAATCGCAGACTAGGGTGACTATAGTTAACTACAATGTATTATATATTTCATGGCCTTTTTTTTTTTTTTTTTTTGAGATGGAGTTTCACTCTTGTTGCCCAGGCTGGAGTGCAGTGACATGATCTAGGCTTATTGCAACCTCTGCCTCCTGAGTTCAAGTGATTCTCCTGCCTCAGCCTCCCAAGTAGCTGAGATTACAGGTGTATGCCATCATGCCCAGCTAATTTTTGTATTTTTAGTAGAGACGGGGGTTTCACCATGTTGCCCAGGCTGGTCTCAAACTCCTGACTTCATGATCCACCTGCCTCTGCCTCCCAAAGTGTTGGGATTACAGGCAAGAGCCACTGTGTCCAGCCTGTATCATATATTTCAAAGCAGCTAAAAGAGAGGACTTAAAATGTCCCCAACACATAGAAATGATAAATACTTGGCCAGATGCAGTGACTCACATCTGTAATCCCAGCACTTTGGGAAGCCAAAGTGGGTAGATCACTTCGAGGTCAGGAGTTCAAGATCAGCCTGGCCAAGATGGTAGAACCCCATCTGTACTAAAAATACAAAATTAGCTGGGTGGGGTGGCATGCACCTGTAATCCGAGCTACTCAGGAGGCTGAGACAGGAGACTTGCTGGAACCTGGGAGGCAGAGGATGCAGTAAGCTGAGACTGTGCCACTGAACTCCAGCCTGGGAAACAGAGTAAGACTGCTTAAAAAAAAAAAAAAAAAAAAAAAAAAAAAAAAAAGAACTGATACTCAAGGTGATAGACACCCCCCAGAATACACTGACTAGGTCATGGCACATTCTATGCATGTAACAGAATATCACATGTACCCTACAGATAACTACACATATTAATAAAAAAATTTTTTAAAAAGAAAGTTTAAAATTTAATACCATATTTCATAAGCTGTCTGACCGGCTAGAGCAGGGGTTAGGAAATTAGGGCCTATGGGTCGACTCTAGCCAACAACCTGTTAGTTAAATTGAAATTGTTATTGAGATAATTGTAGATTCACGTGCAGTTGTAAGAAGTAACACAGACCAATCGCTTGTACGCTTCGCCCAGTTTCCCCAGTGGTAATCCACCTGTTTTAGGTAATCTACCACCATGAGCTAAGAATGGTTTTTAGATTTTTTTTGGAAACATGGAAACAGGATTTTTCTCTGTTGCCTGACCTGCTGTGCCTCTAGCTGGGCTAGAGACTGGGCTAAGATTCATGAAGGAATGAAAATTCTGGAATAAAAATTCTTTCAAAGATTAAAAATTCTAAATGACATTTGCACCATTGATTTTTTTAAACATTGATATAAAAACTGTTTTCTGGCAACCGGGGCAAATGGATAAGTGAAGTACAGCTGATATTTGTTTTTTCTCAAAATCCAGAGTTGTCCATTCATTCATTCATTCATTCATGACAATTTCTGTTGCCCAGGCTGTAGTGCAGTGGTGCAATCATACATCATAGAAGCCTCAATCTCCTGGGCTCCAGTGATCCTCCTGCTTCAGCTTCCTGTAGCTGGAACTACAGATGCACACCACCATACCTAATTTTTAAAGTTTTTTGTAGGGATGGGGTCTCCTTATGTTGGCTAAGCATTAGCGGGAAATCAGTCTTTTGTGACCTTTCAAGAAATACGTATCACACAGAGTGAGAAAGAGCACAAGTGCAATGCCTTTAGAATTTAGGGAATGACAAATGTACATCTGTTTTCTGTATGTCTAAGTCACTCAAACTAACACATGAAGATTGACCCATCTTAAGAGCAGTTTATGGGAAAAAGACTAATAGAGAGGTATTACAAAGAGCCCTGTTTGGAGAATCCTTCCCAAATGCAATGGTTTTTATAGACTTTTATTTTTTATAGAGACGAGGTCTCACTATGTTACCCAGGCTGGTCTCAAACTCCTGAGCTCAAGGGATCCTCCGGCCTTGGCTTCCCAAAGTGCTGGGATTACACGCGTAAGCCACTGTGCCTGGCCCAAAGGGTTTTCTTGATGTGGGAGTATTAAGTATTCAAATGCTGGTTCTACTTGTTCTGGTTAAGATGGAAGCAACTGCAAGTCAAAATTTTACCAAGAAAACTGGATCCTAGAAAATCCTTTAACATCAGAGACTTTTTTTTTTGAAGACAGAGTTGCTCGTCACCCAGGCTGGAGTGCAGTGGTGTGATTTCAGCTCACTGCAACCTCTGCCTCCTTGGTTCAAGCGATTCTTGTGCATCAGCCTCCTGAGTAGCTGGGATTATAGGCACATGACACTATGCCTGGCTAATTTTTGCATTTTTAGGAGAAACAGGGTTTCACCATGTTGGCCAGGCTGGTCTCGAACTCCTGGTCTCAAATGATCTGCCAGCTGTGACCTCCTATAGTACTGGGATTATAGGTATGAGCCACAGTGCCCAACCTTAACATCAGAGACCTCATGTGAGCTCAGGGCGATGCTGTATAGAATTTTGCAAGTCTAGGAACTTGGATGTGCAATAAAATCCTTTATTTTAAAAAACTTTGTGTAGCGACAGGGTCTCATGAAGTTGTCCAGGCTGGTCTCAAACTCCTGGCCTCCAGTGATCTGCCCACCTTGGCCTCCCAAAGTACTTAGACTACAGGCATGAGCCACTGCACCTGGCCAGAAAATGAATCTTCAGTTTCACTAGGCTCTGAATGAAATCCAGTATTTCTGCCAATTTTGGATGTAGGCACCAAACCACATTAGCCAGACCTGTGCTTTAGTCAACAAAAGAAACTGGGTATTTTCATTAAACATCATGGCCATTGTAGATTGCTACTTCAAAATAAAAATAGTTACTAGATCTGCTGCAATAGCTTGCATTTAATGTTAATAAAAACATACCTAATAATTAAAAAATATTTTGGTAATTATTTTAATGGTTGTTTCCTTTTGCAAACTTATGCTTTTTTTTTTTGAGACGGAGTTTCGCTCGTTACCCAGGCTGGAGTGCAATGGCGCGATCTCGGCTCACCGCAACCTCTGCCTCCTGGGTTCAGGCAATTCTCCTGCCTCAGCCTCCTGAGTAGCTGGGATTACAGACACGCACCACCATGCCCAGCTAATTTTTTGTATTTTTAGTAAAGAAAGGGTTTCACCATGTTGACCAGGATGGTCTCGATCTCTTGACCCACGAGGTGATCCACCTGCCTCGGCCTCCCAAAGGCATTTTATTCTTTTAAACATCACTGAGCAGATTCATGAATTTCATCGAACTGCCAAAGGGGTCCATGACTCAATGACTGTGTCTCAAAGCAGGCCTCCTAAGCAGGGGGCATGGCGTACTGAAAGAGGCTCCATGTTGGAGACGACACATGGGTTCCAATCCTGACAAGCTGCTTGACCTCAGACAGGCTTCTCTGTTTCTCATGACTTCCCTTTCAGCTCTGCTAAAATAGAAGTGGGCTAGGTGCAGTGGCTCACACCTGCAGTCAGCACTTTGGGAGGCCAAGGCAGAAGGATAGCTTGAGGCCAGGAGTTGAGACCAGCCTGGTCAACAAAGCAAGACTCCCATCTCCACAAAAAAGAAGCGTCTGAAGCAGCACTCAGGGAAGTCAGCAAGATGCGATCCTGAGCATCTCCTGAGAGTGGCTTCTCGAACTCAGGTGGCCACTTAAACTCAGGTAAATCCATGTTTGATTACCAAAGTTCAGCATTTAAGCAAAATTTACAATTTTGTAACCTGCCTACGTCAGGGAATGCAACGTCGGTCATTCCTACAATACTTGCGCCAGCACACAGGCAGCCCAGCCACATTTTTCCAACCTAATGATACATTTGAAATGCTTTCCCTTCCTACCATAGATCTTCCCCATCTTGCAAAAAAGACCTTGTTCTAAATGCCTCAACAGTTAGCTGTCCCTGAGCTGCCTACCTCTGCCAGTGGTGAGAGATTAAGGAAGCTGGCCAGGCACAGTGGCTCATGCCTGTAGTCCCAGCACTTTGGGAGGCAAAGGTGGGTGGATCACCTGAGGTCATGAGTTTGAGACCAGCCTAACCAACATGGAGAGACCCCGTTTCTACTAAAGATACAAAATAAGCCAGGTGTGGTGGTACGTGCCTGTAATCCCAGCTACTTGGGAGGCTGAGGCAGGAGAATCACTTGAACCTGGGAGGTGGAGGTTGCGGTGAGCCGAGATTGCGCCATTGCACTCCAGCCTGGGCAGCAAGAGCTAAACTCTGTCTCAAAAAAAAACCCCCAAAAAACAAAAAAAAGATTAAGGAAGCTAGTGGAAGGCCCAGCATGGTGGCTGACACCTGCAATTCCAGTACTTTGGGAAGCTGAAGCAGGTGGATCACTTGAGGTCAGGAGTTCCTGAGGTTGCGAGTTCGAGACCAGCCTGGTCAACATGGAGAAACCCTGTCTCTACTAAAAATACAAAATTAGCCAGGCATGATGGTACATGCCTGTAATCCCAGCTACTTGGGAGGCTGAGGCAGGAAAATCACTTGAACTTGGGAGGCGGTTTAAGCCTGAACTCAGGTGAGCTGAGATCCTGCCATTGCATTCCAGCCTGGGCGACAAGAGTGAAACTTCATCTCAAAAAAAAAAAAAACAAGTAGAGGTGCCCTTGTATCTCCCCCAAGAGACAGATTTCAAATACCAAAGAGGCTCCCGGGAACTGCTGCAGGCAGGCACTGCAGTAGAGCCTTAGAATGCCTTGGAAGCCTGTCATGGTCCATCAACCACAAGGAGCAGGCAAGACCGTCCCCATGAAGCCCTGATAAGACACACACTTGTGAACACCTCAGGGTCTTTAGGACCCATATCATGTGCCTCTCAGAAAAAGCAAGAGGCAACCTCCATGAGCCTGGCTTACTGTGCAGAGAGCAGAGGAGGCTCACGGGTCCAGCATCTCCCCTTCCAGGTTTTAACTGGCACAGACCAATCCAGAGGAACCTGCTTCCCAGTGTCCTTTTCAGAGCTATGGTGTGTGACTAGGTGGGGAGGTGAGCTGCAGCTTACGTGCGACTTTCCAGCAGTGTTCAGGACTCGACCTTCTCTCCTGGGTTGGAGCTTAAGGTGTCACCTAGGACTGCGTGTTGAAGATGTGGGGTGGGTGGGTGGGGGAAACGGGAAGATAGAAATAATGATCCCTGCTGATGGTAAGGCCACAGTATTTAGGTCATGGTTATCCCTCTTCCCCCTACAAAAGGGAAAAAGCAAGCAGGGGTCAGGGGGTGGGAGAGACAGAGAGAAGCCAACTTCCATTAAGTCAGTAGATTGCAGCATTAGGCCAAATGCCTGGCACGGCCCATTTTACAGAAGAGCAAAGACTCATAGGACATCCCTCTAGCTGAACAAGGCAGGGGGTTTCCCATCTTCAGCCCTGTTAGCTTAAAACTAACAGGTGGCTTCTCAGAGCAGAAGGATGGTTGCCAGGAGCTGAAGAAACGGGGAGATGCTGATCAAAGGGTGCAATCTTTGTTATGACATAAACACGTGTTGGGTTGTAAGGCACAGCATGGGTGGCAGCGGCGGCTCTGTTGATCTAGTCATTACACGATGCTTAGGTATTTCCAATCAACGCATTTTATAGACACTGAATATATGCTGGCTTTATTTGTCAGTTAAATATTTAAAAGAGGCAGCTTCTGGCTGGGTGCAGCGGCTCATGCCTGTAATCCCAAGTAGTTTGGGAGGCTGAGGCGGGCAGATCATGAGGTCAGTAGTTTGAGACCAGCCTGGCCAACATAGTCAAATCCTGAATCCACTAAAAATAAAAAAATTAGCTGGGCGTGGTGGCAGGTGCATGCAATTCTAGCTACTTGGTAGGTTGAGGCAGGAGAATTGCTTGAACCCAGGAGGCAGAGGTTGCAGTGAGCCAAGAGTATGCCACTGCACTCCAGCCTGGGTAACAAGAGTGAAACTCCATCTCAAAAAAAAAGAGGCAGCTTCTTTAGGATGTTACCATCTTACTCAGAATTATTACTGGCTCATACTGTTCTGTTTTAGGAAGTTTCTTCCCCTTATCCTTCAGTTTCTGCATTTAAACAAGGGGCAGGGGTGAGGTGTGGTGGGAGAGGCCATGGCCTCAGGCACACACTGAAAGTGATATCCCAAATCTCAATGGATCAAGGTAAATACCATAACTTTTTAAAAACCAATAAATGCAAAAGAAACCTACAATGAGCAGAATGTCAGAACTGTAAATATGGGCTCCAACCCTGCTTACACAGCCCTGACTTGCCCTAACCCAGGCCAACTTTCCACAAAACTACGAAAACAAAGCAGATGACCTGTGAGGTCACCGTTTGCCAATGTGCATTAAAGTATTTTTTGAAGACTGAGTTCCCAGCACTCCCTTAAGTCTCCTATCCCAGGCGAGTGCCTCACCCTACCTCAGCTCTGGGCAGCGCCTGGGAGAAAGAAGCACCTGCGGACAGGTAAAGTCTTAGTGCAGTGCTCGGCTGAGTCATGAAGGCAACTTGAATTCAGGCTCATCCGCTTTCTTGGAAGAGGTTAAATACAGGGACATGTAAGATATTCATGTTCTGTAGCATCTAGAAGGCAGCAAGAAACCTTAAGCAGAGGGGCAGGAGACCACCTTGATTTCTAGACTCTTCAGTGGGGGTTTTACAAGCTGATCTGAGTAAAGTTCAAAAGGATCCAGTTTTCCCCAATACCTAACTGGAGATTCATCTGTGGCATGAAGCCACACCTTCCTTAAAGTGGCCCCACGGAATTGTTTTAAAGACAGAGTCACACTGTTACCCAGGCTGGACTTGAACTCCTGGGCTCAAAGAGTTCTTCCTGGCTCAGTTTCCCAAGTAGCCGGGACCACAGACACTCATTACTGATGCTGCCACAATTTTGTGTTAACATTTCTCCTTTGCCTTTTATCCAATCACGCCATTTGTTGCTTTTACGTAGGGTAAGGTTGGCAAACTGGCCTTCCAAATCATGTCCTTTTATAAGTAAAGTTTTATTGGCCCACAGCTAAACCCATTTCCTTCCCTATTCTCTGCAGCTGCATTTCAGTGGGCGAGTTGGAGCCGCTGTGCTACAACAGCAGGGGCAACGGAGCTGATGACGAGTGGGACCAGCAAAGCTGAAAACATTTACTCTCTTGCCCTTTAATAAAAAAGTTTGTGGACTCCCGGGGCTCAGGTGAAATCAAACTGCAAACATACTAAGTTTCCTTCCAGATCCAGAGTGCTCTGCCAATCAAGATAGGTGTAAGAATTGCCATTGTGCTCTGTGCCATGTCAGCTGTCTTTCTGAGAGTCTTGCTCTGTTGCAAGCTGGAGTGCCGTGGCGTGATCTCGGCTGATTGCAATCTCTGACTCCCTGGTTCAAGCGATTCTACTACCTCAGCCTCACGAGTAGCTGGGACTGCAGGCACGTGCCACCACGCCCAGCTCATTTTTGTATTTTTAGTAGAGACAGGGTTTCACCATGTTGGCCAGGATGGTCTCAATCTTCTGACCTCGTAATCCACCCGCTTCAGCCTCCCATAGTGCTGGGATTACAGGCATGAGCCACTGTGTTCTGCCAGTTATCCCTTTCTATTAAGGCTGTTCCTCACTTTTATTCGGTGATTACCTGTACATTTTCAGTCTCATTCTAGCAGGTTTAGACAGGTCAGCCCCCACTTCTGAATGATTTAACCCCACCCACCGTCACCTTCTAATTTCCTAGAAATGGAAAGGTAAGACTATCCCTACCCTAGAAGTTTGCTGGTCCTATGCTCCCTTCTTAGCCTACTTTTCTGAATCTTGGAATTTTTACCAGTCTCAAAAATTCCTTTACATTCTGAAATTTTTTAATACTCATTCAGCCTTATTCTCTTGAACTACATTCTCAGCTTTGTGCAAAGCCCATTTGTCTCTCTGCCAAAAATTTTGGTATCTTTTAATGTGTTTTACAAGTCACACTTGCCAGTTCAGAGCAAAATCCTCTGCAGGAGGGTTTGCTGTATTCCAAGATCACAGGGCCAAATCTAGCCTGCCACCTGTTTTTGTAAAGTTTTATTGGAACACAGACAATTGTTTTTCCTTGCAATCTATGGTTGCTTTTGTGCCAAAAGTGCAAAGCTGAGTTGTTGCAAAAAGACTTATGCCCCCCCACCCCACTGCCTGAAGTATTTAATATCGGGTTCACAGCTTTTTACTCACCTCTGCTCTATTGGCAGTCCGAGTTTGGTAGGCGATACCAGCTTGGATCTAAAACCCTTAAAGCCCACAGCTGTTAACAACAACAAAAGCCTTCTAAACAGGCTGATGTCTTTCCTTTTTATCTGAAGAGCTATAAAACAAGAAGTACGAGGAACGTTTCTGTGATTTCAATCTATGGGCTCCCCCTTGAAGGGTCAACAACCTTCTAGAACAGAAACGCAGCTCAGACTCATGACAAACAGCAGAAAGGTAACAATAGCACCAGCACTCAGTAACCAAACACTTTTCTGATCAAAACCATCATCTCCAAAGAGACTAATTCTACCCTGGGTCTCTGCCATCATTTTAATCTTTTCTTCTTACAATGGAGATTCAGCAGTATACCATCACCCACCTGATGTAAAACTTAACGGGGTCAGATTTGCCCAAATTACCACCATTAACAAAATAAACTAGGTTTCTCTATTTCCCAAGTGAAATAGTCTCTTCTATATAACCTATAAAAGTTGACATCTTTTTTTCCTAATTTATCAAGAACAGTGGATCTACTTAATCTATTTCACTTCCAGAGATATTCAGCTTGATGAGGGCACACAAGAATTTATATTAAAAAATACAGTATTTGAAGGGAAGATGCCAGAAGTAGAAACCAAGCAGCTGTGGGAAAGTTATATATCTCCACTGAGATTTCATAACCTCCTAAGGGTCCATCTATGAGAAAAGGCTGGATTTTCTGTTGTCAGTTCAGCAAACACTACACGCTTTCTGTGATGAAACAGATGCTGGTGTGAGGCTGCCCCACACATCACATATCCTGTCCCCAAGTCCAGGGCCCACTGGGGCTCTAGACTTTTCTCTCCAAATAGAAGTAAACAGTTTTGAATTCCACAGCAGATAATACGCACAGGCTGCGCTAGTTAGCTTGATATTTGGCGCCACCTCCAGGTCAAACTTCATTTCATTTTACTACAGTGGGAACTCACTGAGAAATCCAACGTGCGTTTATAATCAAGCTACTGAGTGGGGTGGGGGTTGGGGATGGAGACCCTTGCACCGTAACTGTCCACGGAGGAATGCAGAACTGAGTGTTCCTTATATCATGCTAGCATGAGTCTGCCTTTTTTATTGTAAGACAACAGGTAAAAGAAACCACACAAACATGTAAGGCAAACACTCTTAGAATGATCACCCAGGTTACGAAACAGAGGTTTTCCAGCAACCCCGGACCCTTCATATATACCTTCCTCACCTAAACCCTTCCTACTTTAGAGATTAGCTTCAGTTTTTCTATATCGTCTAACTAGTTTAATAATTCTACCAGAGATGGATCAGTTTTAAAATTGGAATCCATGACGTAGAAGCTATCCCCATTGGATAAGGAGGGCTCAGCAGACCCCCACGTTTGAATGACCAAGTCGACTTGCTCAATAATCCTTGGAGGAAGAGACAAAGGCGACAAGTGTTTCCAAAGCACTGCTTTGCTTTCATCCCTGTTGCCCCAGCCGTCGCCTCTGGAGGCCTGTGATGTGGGAGCAACCAGCCCTGGAAGTGGTGCCCAGAGCCTGTGTCACTGGCCTCGCTTTTAGAGAGCTGGGCAACAGCACTGGTCAGAAGTCCTGATAGCTGATGATCCTCTTCGGCTGAGCTAGAGGTCTTGGCTGGACTCCAGGGGGACCTCGAGCTGCCCCACAGAGACCAGGGTGCTGAGCTGCCCCGAGGCACTGCTTTCCGGTGGGAAGGTGACCAAGTCTGAGTTCCTGTTCTCACTCTGATCACTATGCTGCTTCTTGTGGCATCTCAGAGAGTCATCCCTGACGAAGGAGGCGCCACAGGTCTCACAGCGAAAAGCCCTCTGCGTCACGATCTTGGCCATGTGTTGGGAGCTGCTCTCTCTGGGCACTTCCTTGCCCGGTGGGGCCCAGTTCTCTGTTTTGGTCTCGTCCCTGTGCACCTTGTCGATGTGCTTGGCCAGGCTGCTGGGCCGCTTTGTGTCGAAGCTGCAGAAGTCACACTTGAAGGGACGGTCCTTACAATGGACTCTGCTGTGCACGCGCAGGGCGGCCGCACTGGAGCAGGAGTAGCTGCACTCAGGACACTTCTCTGGGTGGTCGGCCTGGTGCAGCCGGCTGTGCTCCAGGAGGTCAGCCCGGTCCCGGCCCTGGAAGGCACAGTGCAGACACTTGAAGGTGTGCTTGATGCGGATGTGCGATTTGAGGTTCGCCTTCATGGTGCAGCGGACGTCACAGAACTCGCACTTGAAAGGCTTCTCCCCCGAGTGCACGATCATGTGCCTTTTCAAGTCTGAGCTGATTTTGAACTTGGCGCTACAGAGCCAGCACTGGAAGGGGGTATCCCCTAGCAATGGAAGGTGTGTTTCCATTAGAACAGGCAGGAAAAACAGACCATCCCACCCCAACCTGCCTCAGCACACTTGACTGCAATGAGATGGTTGGGTTTTGTGAACTCCTAACTACCCACAACCTCCTAATGACAATGCTTATTGTGCATATTAATGCAATCCTCACAGCAGTCCTCTGAGTGGGCACCATTACCCCCGTTTTACACATGGGGCAACTGAGGCTCAGAGAGGTCAAGTGACTTGACTCAGGTCAAACAGCAGGGATTTGGAACCCAGGCACTATGGCACTCAAGTCCATACTCTTGATGACTCTTCAGCTGCAAATCTGAACTCCCATTTAACTTGACATCCCAAAATTGAATGTGGAAGAGATGAGATTTAAATTACAAACAACTGCTTCAAATCAAGCTAAGTCCTGTGAACATGCTTAATATAGTGTCTAACCTATACATCAGTTATTCAGCTTGTACTTCAAGTTAAAGGTTCTTACTTTTATAACTACAGGCTGAATTTTACTTATAACATTAATGCATAATTATGGCAGTAGGGGATAAATAATGAAGAGCCATGGTCTCTTCTCTAATTTAGATTCCCATTCCCTGGAGACATTGCTAAGGGTTTTAGTTGTTTTGGAGGTTGCTGCTTTAAATGTCAGTTGACTGTAAGCAAAGATAAGCATCATATCCTACACATCCTCATCCTTTCCCCAACCTCTGCCTGCTCCTACACACCCATCCTTTCCCCAGCCTCTGTCTGCCTTCTGGTGGTTGTAACTTTTACACTTTTAGTAGCTGAGTAGTAGCCTCACATCTTATTCCATCCGCTTGTGAGAATTTTTGAGGAATCACTCCTCTTCTCCACACTTAACTCCTCACTTGTTAAAAGTAGCACTCTTTAAGTAAAAAAAAAAAAAAAAAAAAAAATTCCATTCTGTCTGGTGAATTCTCATACTTTCATCATTTTCAGATATCAAGTTCAGAAGCCAACTATAAACAATTAATTGTGACTGGGAATGTTATATTCAGAGCCAAACACTGTATCAGGATTACAACCACTTCCTTGCAAGTCTGCTGTCACACTTGGGCCAGTGGATGGAGTAACTACCCATCAATATCATTTTCTTTTCATGCAGGCTGCTCATTTTGGGGCATATTTTAGCTTGCTTCTTGATTAGACTATTTCTTGTAAAAAGGAATCTCAATTTCAGACGTCATCCACTCTCATAATTTGTAACTTTCACAAGGAGTGTTTAAAATGGATTTTTAGAATTTCTGATTTAGTTTCTCTTGATCTTCTACACAACTATCACCCTGGTATTTCTCTTTGCTGCAATCCCAGTTAGCCATATCAGATATTCACATATCAAATGTCTCATACCAGATGTTTTCTCCCTTCCTTTGCTAGAATTTATCTTCTAGTAACTTCCACTAGCATGGTGGCTGGGAGTAAAGTCTTGAGTCCTTGAACATCATTCTATTTTGGTCTCATACTTGAGATAGTTTGGCTGGGTATAGAATTCTAAGTTCAAAATCATTTCCCACCTTTTGAGGGCACTGTTCCATTGTCTCCTAGGAGCCAATACTACAAGTCATATTTTCAGATATAGATCTCTCCTGTCTACTCCCTTCCATCCTGATTGGAATCTTGTGAGCACTTTTACTCTCCTGGCCCCTTAGAATTGTGGACTTCATTTTTCATATGATTTTCTATTTTCACTCTATTTTCTTCTCATTTCCATTTTCTTTTATTCCTAGACCTGGTCAGAAACCAGACTTCAGGAATGGCTGTTATTCTCAGTTCATTCACCCAACTCCCCCCCCCCCAATCTCTGAGAAATTAATGTTATAGCTAGCAATCCTAGTTTTATTTCATACCTCTTTGTTCTCATTATCTCTTCATAGGTCTCTATTTGGATGCAACATTTCTGTCAGTGGATAGATGCCAAATAGAATGTGAAAATTACCCAAGTACTCTTTACTTCCAGGATTAGTTATTAGACTTGGCTCATTTTTTATTTCACTAATTTCCTATAAATGACTCCTTATCCTTGGTTGACTATATTTGGGAAAGTAGACTGGTTTAATGATTAGACATGGATGCCAGGGATTTCACCTGCTACTGGGTTGGTTGCGCAGTTTTGCCAATAGGCCTTGGCTAGTCCCCCAAGCTTTGTGGCCCTGGCTGTCTACATGCTTGTTCCAAGCCCAGGGCTCTTGGGGCACTTGGATATTGATTGGGAACATTGGCTCCCAACTGTATGGCTGCCTCCCATTTGTCTGTTAGGACACAGTTTTCTATACTCAATTTTAGACATCACTATATTCTTGTCTGTTTACCATTTTCCAGGAATTCATTGAAAAATTTCAACTTGTGAGTATCCTTATGAGTATCCCAAATCCCATTTTTATGTGCCATGATCAGTTAGTACTATTGTTATTTCAGTGGGGTTTCAAAAAGAAGGGAAGGAGTTGCTAAGATTACAAGTTTGTGATTTTAGTTATACTCAACTGATCTTGCTACATTTCCAAATTAAGCCATGCAGTCAATGTGTACATTTACTAAAACATCTAGTTTATAGGTCTGACTTATCTGGGATACATCCTTGGCTTTCTGGTGGTTATGGTGGGTATCTACCCCCAGCTGGATTCTATATAGTCAAGATATAAAACCTAGCTGTCAGTCATATTTTACCAAAAGCTGTTGTTCCAGCAACAGAAAAATGACAAACCTCACGATCATCACAGAAGTTCCAAATTCTTGTACTTCTACCACACCCCATCATTTAAGTTGCTTGTGTTGTTAAGCAAATAAAGGCTAAGAAACTAGAGAAAAAATAAGAGACCGAGGTTTCTGGGTCAGGGACTCACCCGTGTGGGACCGCAGGTGGACAGTGAGCTGGCTGGAGTTGCGGCTGGCATAGGGGCAGAGCTGGCATTTGTATGGCCGCTCGTCCGAGTGGATCCGCAGGTGCTTCTTGAGGCTGCTGCTGTCCACTGCGGCATAGTCGCACAGGTGACACTTGTGTGGCTTCACACTGGTGTGACACCGCATGTGCATGGTCAGGTTGTCCTTCCGGCTGAAGCACTTGTCACAGAACTCACACTTGTGCGGTTTGTCTCCTTCAAACACATAAGGAGTCAAAGTTAAAGGTTTTTTGGTCAAGATGACTGCAGAGATTTGACCCAGATGGTAGCCTGGGCACATGGTGTGCCTCCTCCTCTCCAAATACCTAGAGAGAAAGACACTGAACTCTACATCAGCATTTTGGGAAACAAGAATGTATGCCATTCATTGGTAGCTCAGAGATCCTAAGGGACAGATTACATAAATATCAGATTGATGGAGAACATTATAGGCCAAACCCTGTTTGGGAAAATGGCAGTGGTTATAGAAGTGCTCAGGGTTAAGAAGTGTCAGCTCTAGGGATCTTGGGCAGCTTCATGAACCACATGGAGAATGGTCAGGTTGACCCCTTCCTCTCACTTCTTCCAACAAGCAAGCAGCGCAGCATCTCTCCCTAAGCTGTCGGTCAAAGGGTGCTGAGGTCAGAAAAAGAATACAAGGGCCTGGTAGTTAGAGATGCCATGGATAGCAGAGGACCACATACCCAGAATATTTCCATCCAGCCAGGTTTCACTATTACCCCCTAGCCCAACAATTCCAGGCTGATCTTATCTAAATAAAAGTTAGCTTACCCAATAACCAAATGCTTGGGGAAAGTCAGAACCAGAAAGAGATGCCCAACTCAAGAATAACTTAGTTACTAAAGCCAAGAAAGGAAGTGAAATTACAGAAATGAAAACTATGGATATCAAAATAAAAGTGCTAATAAGGTGACCAGCAAAAAAGGGTGTCAAATGACAGTTATTGGTGGACATGCCATCATACATTTGTCCAAACCCACAGAACGTACAACACCAAGAGTGAACCTTGGTAAGTGTGGTGGCTCACACCTGTAATCCCAGTGCTTTACACTGGGAGGCTGAGGTGGGTGAATCGCTTGAGCCCAGGAGTCTGAGACCAGCCTGGGCAACATGGCAAAACCCTGTCTCTACACAAAAAAAATACAAAATATTAGCTGGATGTGGTGGTGCATGCCTGTAGTTCCAGCTACATGGGAGGCTGAGGTGGGAAGATCATCTGAACCCAGGAGGTTGAGGTTGTCAGTCGAGATGGTGCCACTGCATTCCGGATTGGGTGACAAAGCGAGACCCTGTCTCAAAAAGAAAAGTGGACCTTACTATAAACTATGGTCTTTGGTTGAGAATGTTGTGTCAGTGCAGGTTCATCTATCATAAAAATGCATGACTCTGGTGAAGGATGTTGGTAATGGGGAAGGCTGTGCATGTATAGGAGCAGGGGGCACATGGGAAATATCTGTATCATTTTTGTTTTTAGACAGAATCTCACTCTGTTGCCTAGGCTGGAGTGCAGTGGTGCAATATCGGCTCACTACAACCTCCACCTCCCTGGTTTAAGCAATTCTTCTGCCTTAGCCTCCTGAGTGGCTGGGACTATAGGCATCCACCACCATGCCCAGCTAATTTTTTTGTATTTTTAGTAGAGATGGGGTTTCACTGTGTTAGCCAGATAGTCTCAATCTCCTGACCTCGTGATCTGCCTGCCTCAGCCTCCCAAAGTGCTGGGATTACAGGCATGAGCCACACCGCGTCCGGCTGGAAATATCCGTATATTCTGGTCTTTAGGTTCACTTTTGCTGTGAACCGAAAACTGCTCTTATAAAAAAATAAAACAAAACCAAACCAAAAAACCATCTATTAAAAAGTCTTAGAAGTAAAAGATACAGCTAAAGAATCTCCCAAAAGGACAAGAGGGAAAAAATGCCAAAAGGTAAGACATGTAAGCTCGTTCTAGACGGTCCAGGATAGCACAGAGAAGAGTTATTTCCTGACACTGAAGACAGACGTGCATCTTATTTAGAAGCAGTGTGGTCCAATTTCAGAACCCTAAGAATGGTGATATCTGGAAGCTTCCAGAAAGAAAATCAGCAGAAAAATGCTCACATCAGCATAAATCTCCTCAGAACGGCAGATGCTAGCAAGATAGAAACAGGATCTTCGACGTTCTATAGAAACAGTTTTAATAGAATCTTTTAATTTATTTATTTTTAAATTTTCCTGGCAATTTCCATTTAATTAATGGAATCTTATACTTGAATTAGCATTCAGTGAGAAGAGGAGATAGTTGATATGACTTGGTATCACACTTAAAAAGCATACACCAGAATAAAAAATAAGGGTGATGGTAAAGGTTACATGGGAATATGAGAAAATAGTACAATGGACAAAGTAGAACTTTCAGATGAGAAAAAACCACCATCAAAGGACTTGGGCACAATGGCTCACATCTGTAATCCTGTAATCCCAACACTTTGAGAGTGTCACTTAAGTCCAGAAGTTTCAAACCAGCCTGGGCAACATACCAAGACTATGACTCCACCAAAAAAAAAAAAAGGATTAGCTGGGTGTGGTGGCATACCCTTGTAGTCCCAGCTATTTGGGAGGCTCAGGTATCAGGTAGGAGGATCGCTTGAGCACAGGAGGTGAGCTCTGATTACACCAGTGCACTCTAGCCTATGTGGCAGAACAAGAACTAGTCTCAAAAAAACAAAAAAAACAAACACGGACAGCACAAAATAAAAATCACATTAAATATCAGATCACTAGATGTCAAACTAAATATTATAAACAAAAATGTATCACATTTCCCTCTTAAAGATTTAAATTATAGGTCAGGTGCTGTGGCTCATGCCTGTAATCCCAGCATTTTGGGAGTCAGAGGCAGGAGGACTGCTTGAGGCCAGAAGGTTGAAGGTTGAGACCAGTCTGGGCAACACAGGGAGACCCTGTCTCTACTTTAATAAAGTTAAAAAATATATTTAAATTAAACTAAGGAAAAAAAGTCTCTAAATTCTCTTTAGATACCTAAATCAAAGTGATAAGAACAGAATAGAAATTCTAGAAAAATGCTTTTTAAAAAGTAGGAATATCAATTTTAACATTAGGCAAAAAGTAGAAATCATGGTGAAATTCATTAAAAATTTCATATGGATGAGAGAATTCAGTATGCAGATAAAAGTCAGAATTCTCTGAATGTAACATGGCTTCACAAACAGTTTTTCAAAAATATCAGCTTGGGGCCGGGTGTGGTGGCTCAAGCCTGTAATCCCAGCACTTTGGGAGGCCGAGGCGGGTGGATCACGAGGTCAAGATATCGAGACCATCCTGGTCAACATGGTGAAACCCCGTCTCTACTAAAAAAATACAAAAAAATTAGCTGGGCATGGTGGCGTGTGCCTGTAGTCCCAGCTACTCAGGAGGCTGAGGCAGGAGAATTGCCTGAACCCAGGAGGCGGAAGTTGCGGTGAGCTGAGATCGCGCCATTGCACTCCAGCCTGGGTAACAAGAGCGAAACTCCGTCTCAAAAAAAAAAAAAAAAAAAAAGTCAGCTTGGAAGTTTTAGAATGTCTTTTAGGACAGTTTTTGTCAAAATTAGGTTACAAACTCTAGAACCAGATAAGAGTTTTGTATTTCAAAACATTATCTCTAAAGCCTATAATGGCTTTAGAGAAGTTTGTAGACTTAAATTCATTTTTAACGAAATGCTGAAATCAAGTGAACAGAATGCAATTCAAGAAACAAAAGAAAGAATTGAGACTGCATATAGCACTTGATCAACAAAAGGAAAAAGGGTGCTTAAAAAGGAAGGCTTAGGTCACAAAGAGGATACCAAGAAACCAGGGTTCTTCATCTCAACACTACTGGCAAGTCTCTGCTGTTTGGCGCTTTCTTCTGCATTGTAGGATGTTCAGCAGCATCCCTGGCCTCTACCCACCAGATGCCAGTAGGACCCTTCCTTCCCTAGTTGTGATGGCCAAAGATGTTTCCAGATATTGTCCCCTTGGGGGGCAAAATTTTACTTAGTCATTCCAATAGACTTCGGAAAAGCAGAAGGGGACTAAAGATAGACAATGTCAATGGTGACTGTTAAACTTTACCCCAATAAATTTAGAAGACTCAGTAAGATGGGTGATGATCCAGGAAGAGGTAACATTGCAAAGTCTGGATTAAAAGATTGAAAACAGGCTGGGCACAGTGGCTCATGCCTGTAATCCCAGCACTTTGGGAGGCTAAGGCAGGTGGATCACTTGAGGTCAGGAGTTTGAGACCAGCCTGGCCAACATGGTGAAACAGTGTCAACACTAAAAATACAAAAATTCGCCAGGCATGGTGGTGCAAAGCTGTAATCCCAGCTACTCAGGAGGCTGAGGCAGGAGAATCACTTGAACCTGGGAGACAGAAGTTGCAGTGAGCCAAGACTGCACCACTGTACTCCAGCCTGGGTGAGAGCAAGACTCAGTCTCTCCAAAGAAAGAAACAGATTGGTAACAATAAAAAATGATGTTAAAGATCTACTCTCTAAGGTAAATTGTTTCTTGTTCTCAAGTATTTGCTGTAACTTCAGGGGAGAATTATGCTTCCCTGTCCCAATAGCCTCTGCTTTGGGCATGACTGACTTTGGCTAGTGAAATACGACAGAAAGTGACAAGAATTGTTGTCAAGGGCCACTGTGTGGTTCCTCATACTGGTTTCTCTTGCCCAAGAGGAAAGAAAACTCCAAGTCAGGAGTTTTTTTTTTTTTTTTTTTTTTTTTTTTAAGACAGAGTCTCACTGTAATCCAGGCTGGAGTACAGTGGCAGCAGGATCTCAGCTCACTGCAACCGCTACCTCTGAGGTTCAAGTGATTCTCCTGCCTCAGCCTTCTGAGTAGCTGGGATTACTGGTGCCAGCCACCACGACTGGCTAATGTTTGTATTTTTAATAGAGACGGGGTTTCACCATGTTGGCCAGGCTGGTCTTGAACTCCTGACCTCAGGTGATCCACCCGCCTCAGCCTCCCAAAGTACTGGGATCACAGGAATGAGCCACTGCACCTGGCCATCAAGAGATTTTATCTGGGGTCTGTGTATAAAATTTCAGGGGTCTAAGACCTTACATGGGAAATGATTACATTTTTATCTTCCCTACCTCTAACTGCAGTTTAGCATTGCCTCCAATTACAAATGCAGGCAACAAATCACACTAATAACAGTGCTGGG